GAAAGAGTCTGTTTTCTGCTTTTTTCCTCAGACTTTAGCAATGTCCCAGTATCTAAAAGGGTCAGAGAAATAGAGCTCCAGAACCAGGCTTTCTATGGTCAGTTTTGTATCTAATTTAGTCAGTTTAGCTGTTCAGTTTACATGCCATGGTACAACCATGAACCCCCTACAAGCATCTTCGCTAAAAAATAGCCTCAACCCAACACAGGTGAGATGAACACGTCTCCACCCTGCACGTGTTAAACTTAACAACTGTTGAACTCTTATCTATACCTAAGGTATCATAAGAAGAAGACAGAACTGCATTACCTCCTATGTATATACTATCTACAGGGATCAGGAGCTTTCCCACAAATAAAAAATCACCAGCATTTAAGGGACCTAGGGCAATCGAGTGGATGCAGTGCAAGAAGTCCCTAGTTACACAAGACAGACTCGCAGAATTACTGAGGTGGGAAGGCATCCTGGCTCAACCCCTGGCCCAAAGGAGGATTACCTAAAGCAGGCTCCTTAGGACCACATCCAGTTCAGTTTTATCTCCAAGGAGATGTAGTGTTATAATAATACATTTAATACTTATGTAGTGTAACCACTCATTACAAAAAAAGGAGTTGTGTTTTTTTTTCTTCTGTTCAGTATTTGCATTTTGCAAGAATTGGCTATGGACTAAAAGTTAACTAATTTACCTGAGATGATTTAAAAAAAAGAAAAAAGGCATGAAAGCTTCTATTAGAATATAAATTCTGTGCCACTGTGTGCTATTTAGGTATATATTGAAAGAGTCTTTCCCAAACAATTCAAGCTTCTAAGGCTATGATCTGGTTACAGAATCAAACTAATTGAGTAAAGCAGAAGGCACTTGTTTAATAGTAGGTTTTAGAAAATAAAGTGATGGTCATACCCAATCTGTTTAGAGTTGCTTTAAGCAATAATTAGTTACAATATAGGTATGAACTCCTATCGACTAGATTGTCTGAGAATGCAAAGATTAAGAAACATGTTTCAATTGCATCTCTTCTGGGGAAAATACATCTTTGTTAGAGACTTGTGAAAATAAATTTACACTGGAGTACAAATAAGGGACTGCAGCTGCAACCAAAGTTTTTAATGAGTGGACTTTCTAAAAGAGCTAACTCTTGTACTTCCCACTGAGAATACCCCATTAGCTGCCAAAAGAAAGGGCTGACAACAGATAAAAATTGTGGCTGAAGTCAGATTACAAAGAACTGATTCTTTTTTTTCCAGTAGGAATAATTTTAGGAGTAGCTTTAGTCTGAGGATTTAATCCTCACCCTGATGATTTATGGTTCTTTTTGTTAGTTTCCAAACTAAGCTTTTTCCAAGCATAGGAGTATGCTGGTACAAATCCATAGATTCAAAAAAACCAATAACTAACTTCCTTATCCAGAAGTAATTTCTAGTAAGTACATCAGTATGTTGGTAGATAAACCCTCTTCTTGTAATATATCCCTTTGGTGGATCTCTTCATTACAGAGAAATTTAGCATTGAGTGAATGATCAACTACATGTACAGAAAAATAATATGAAAAGTTTGAAACCAAAGTAATTTCAAATAAAAGGGTTTTTGAAAAGACTATTAACAGTCAAACTTATTAATGGAAAACATGATGCAGCATAAATACCTGCTTTATGTTCCTGCACCAAGTACAAAAAAATCGTGAAAGCAAGTGATCCAGAGGCTCTTGATATTTGTGGGTTGCTATTTTGTGTTTGTTGGTTATTTAAAAAAAAACACAAACAAACAAGAAAGCAGTCCTTTGGAGAATAGCATATAAAGACCTGTAAACAGAGGTTGATTGTCCAAGCTTTCTTAACTGAATTTTGATTATTTTTTTAAATGTCAAAAAAAAAGTTCTATTGTTGAACAGTTTTTGCTGAAACATTAAAAACTCCCATCCAAATGCATAATGCTGTTTTTGATGCAGAATCTCATAGACTGCAGTGGAGTTAAGGTTTCTATGCATTTTGTAAGGTTAGTTGCACATTACAATCCAGAAGAAGTCCCTTAATTTTTTCATGGAATTTCTCTCTGTACTGGTTGAAGTGCATAATGCTTTCTGGTTCTTCTTCAAACCAGAACTTGTCAAACTCATAAACCAGATAACCTGTGAAGAAAATAACATGCAGATCTGCAAAACTTACTTCAACAATTTTCTGCTTTGATGTAGCTAGACCTAGAATGATTCTTTAGACTCTGTTCAGTCCCCTAAAATAGGGAGTGTCCAATCCTGGTTAACAGCAAGTTTTTGGACTGTGTAATACTGAATAAAAAAATAAATCTGCAAATACTCAGTTTTCAGACTCCAATCTCTGATATATACAAAGCCACCCACATTTATCCCTTAAATGTACACTTCTGTAGCACAGTGTTTAAACATCAGGTGGATTTCTAATACCTGATCCAGAAGACAAACAGCTTGCTCTGACTAACAAGAAAAGAGTGGAAACATGGTGGAAACCTTAAACTGTGCATCTTGGCATCCCCTGGGCAGTTTGTACTGAAGAAGCTACAGATACTTACAGTAAAACTGGTGGAAGTGCTCCATTTGTGGCAATCCAGAGACCACGTTGTACAGATAAGACTTTAAAGCACCATTCTTAAGTAAGCTGTATGCCATTTCTGTCAGGTTGATTCCCACTATTGCATAAGAATATCTGCAACACCAATCATAGGTCACATTTTATGAATCAAAGGTCTTAAAAACTTTCCTGAAATAGTCTGCATTAGGGTAACTATAAGTGTCTTGTCTTTTTTTTTTTCCTGTGAGACTTGTTGACAAGCAGACTCCAGCCTACACACCACTCTTTC